ATAAAATATGATAAAATATGTGATAAAATATAATTTATTATTAAAAAATAATTAATTAATATTTATTTAATAAAAACCGAAACCAAACCGATTTCATTGATAAAAATCGGTAACCAAACCGATTAGCTTATAACAATTTCGGTTCGGTTTCGATTAATAAAATTAAAACCAAATTTTTTTGGTTAATTCAAAATCGGTTTCAATTTTAAACCAAAATCGGTTTTGCCCACCCCTAGTTGAAATTGAGTTCGATAAAACCGTCTCCAACGGGCAGATTGAAATATTATCTGATATAAATATCAGATACCGAAGAGTTATGCTGCTTGCATCTGTTTTACATTGGTGTAAAGACACTGGTTGGAAATTGTAAATAAATAATACAGTTCCAAGAAAAATAGACCATCTTGAAGAAATATTCTGATTTTTCTTCATCTTCTTCCTTGAATTTCTGCACTTTGCTTTTAAGTTTCAGTATACTAGTAGGGTGATTAAAATTTATTTTAGTGGGCATTATATCTTGGGAATAACGTTTCCTACATACAGCTAAAAACTATTATCCTTAATAAAAGTTCCTAGAGCTGCCTTGCTCACACCAATTGCACCTACAACTTTTTGCCTACAACACTACTAATATGATGTTGGTTCAAATCCTCTTATCTTTAAAATTTGAACTTGTGCAGAGAAATTAAAAAAAAAAAAAAAAGTGCAGGAAAGGGAAAAAATTGTTAGCTATATGTGCGATATATATTTGGTTTAATATTTATTATTTATAAGTTGTGCGTATGATTTATTTTATTTTTATATTTTATTATTTTTATTTTTAAAAATTATTATTATTATATAGATATTATATATAATAAGTATATATAAAATTTTAATTATACAAATATAGGTAATATGATAGTTAAATAAAACGATTAAATAAGTTGGGTAAATAATTCTAAATCTTTATGTTTTTTAGTTAACTTCATATTTATGGATATACTATTTTTATACCAATTACTTAATTTTTTTTATAATTAAGGTAAAGGATTTGCCCAAACAAATAAAATATTTACAAGTAACATGTGTATCTGTACCCAATGCTCACCCTCGCATGCCTTTTTTCTTTTGGATTTTTATTTCTAAAGTTTTATATTTGTGAGAAAAATTTTGTTGTATCATTTAATTTAATAACAAAGTAAAATTCAACACGTT